GAACACCCCAAGGCCGCTACATCTCGTTGTGCAGACTCTGCCCTGGACAAGTGCACCAGGCCACATGGGTGAGTGGGAAGGAAATCAAGCCCCGACTCCACTGCCTAGTCCCTAGTGAGAAGTTGTGTCTCCCTGGAGGATCAGGCCTTTTGCTAGTGTATAAAGTCATCATGTGGGTTGGTGTTGGCCTGAAAGCATTCTTTAAGTTGGCTTAAAAAATGAGTAGGAGGGCCGGTCCTGATGGTCTAGTGGTTGAAGTTTGGCACTCTCACTGCTTTGGCAGCCCGCGTTCGTTTCCCAGTTTCGGAATCACACCGCCCGTCTGTCAGTTGTCATGCTATGGTGGTGGCTCACGTAGAGGAACTAGAAGGACTTACAGCTAGGATATACAACCATGCACTGGGGCTTTGGGGAGAAAAAAAAGAGGAAGATTGGCAGCAGATGTTAGCTCAGAGCAAATCCTTCCCTACAACAAAAAAAAAAATTATCTTCCTAAAAAGTCACTATATATATATATAAATAGGAATCTTCCAGGCAGAATTCTGGGTAATGAACTTGTCATAGTCATGAAAGAACCTGGAATGTCTGGGGAAGGGCAAGAAGGTCAGTGGTTTGGATTTTCTCCAGTAGAGGTTGGGAAACCAACAGTATTTTTTAAGCATGGCAGCACTTTAATTCTTAGATGGTCAGTTCTCTCAGAAGTGTGGGGTGAATGACAGGGGGAACAAGCAGATTCAGAAGAGAGGAAATGGTTGCCTTAACCCTGACAGTGAAGATGCATGGAAAGAAGGCAGAAGAATAGGCAGACAGGTTGTGAGGGTGATGAAAGGGCAGAGGTTAACTTCAAGGTTTTAACTCTGGAAACCAGGGAAATAGATTTAGGTGTATGGAGGGGGAGGGGTGATAACATGCACAGTTTGAAACACTGCAAGTTAAGCGTCTAGTGGGTAGTAAGAATGAGGCAGAGGCTGTAAAGTCAGCTTTGTAAAGCATAAGCACGTGTGATGTGTGGTTGACGCCATGGGTGTGAATAGGATCACCTGGAGAGAGCATGTAGGGAGAAGAACCTGGCATATTGGTTGGCAATTAGAAAAGCACTGGTGACTTTAGTGAGAACAGTGTGAGTGGGGGACTGTAGATGGAAGTCAAGCTGTGGGAGCACGAGGGTTAAAGAAGCATTAACGGAGATAGTGGTTTTCATCCCCAGTTGCACATTGGAATTATCTGTGAAGGTTTTTAAAATGATATCGTTGCCTAGATATTCTGAGTTAATTGGTGGTCTTTGGGGCCCAGGAATCAGTATTTTTTTGAAAAGTTCCCCAGATTTAAGAACCACTACCCTTGCATATGAGATGCTTAAAGTCGTAGGGAGTCGAGAAGTACAAATTTTTTATGGGATGAAGAATCTTTATATTATTAGACTGACAAATACTAGAAAGCTGGAAATGCTAAGTTTTAGGGTGGATGTGGGGCACAGTAACTCCTGTATACCAGGTGTGGATGCGTAACTGGTACAGCCATTCTGTAGAGCAGCTTTAGCAAATTAACTCCTAAGGCAATGCCCTGTGAGCCAGCAGTTCCACTGCTAGATGCATATGCCAGGGAAATTTTCCCACAGGTCCATTAGGGAACATGCACTAGCATGTTCCATTGCAGCCCAGCATCAGGTGAGGAGAATTGGAGATAATCTGAGTAGCCTTCACTGGGAGAGTGGATTAGGTATAATTGGGGGGATACACCCCACAGAATATTATGCAGCCGTCAGAAACAATAGATTAGATGTATACATATTAACATGGATGGATCTTAAAAACATAATGCTCAGTAAAAACGTAGTAAACAAGAAATATGACAATATCACTTACATAAAAGTACATATTACAAAACAACAACAATATGTATTTTGGGAAAACACACTCAAATAAGATAGAAACCGTTGAAAGTGGTTGCATACTTATGAGAAAAGAAAGAAGTGGGGATGAAAGAGAAGACATTTTATTTTAAAAGTATGATTCCAGGGAAAAATGGGTTAGGCTGGAAGCTTAAATGAGAAGTGAAGTCAAGGGAAGGGTATATGTGTGTGTGTTAAGAGAAGGAAAAAGTGTTATAAATGTGTAGATGAAATGGCAGACTCCCATGGAGTTCTAACTTTCCCTCTTATTTATTCAGTGGCGATAATAACAACTGAGAGTTGTGTCCAAGTGCTACTCCTGTCTTTATCTTTTTCCTAACCTTACTAAAATTCATTTGTTTTTTTTCTCATTTCTAAAGCAATGTGTAGGCCTTACAGACAAACCAGAAAAATCACAAGCAAAACTAAAAGAAAGATCCATTAACCCACTTACCCACAGACAAAATCCAGATCCTTTTCTAAGAATATGTTGCAAAATTCAATGAAAGTTTTTCATAAGCTGAACTTCTTATGCAAGGAACAGTATATCCTGAGCTTCTTCTATGTCCAGAGACATTTGTGCAACTTCATTTTTAATGGCTGCATAGTGTTCCATTGTACAGATGCACCATCATTAATGTAGCCAACCCCCTCCTGCTGGACATCAGTTGTCTCTAAATTTTGCTACCTCAAGTGCTGTGGTGAGCACACTTAAGCTACCTATCTTTGAAGACAAACTCCTGTCCTTCATCTGGCTTATTTTTAAAGGAGGTTTAAGGATTGGATTTGAAATTATCTAATGAGGTAAAAAATTTACTCAGCGTCATTGAACTCAGAGCACCAGGTGCCCTCAGGACTGTTCCTGGTCCAGTCATGAATGAGAATGAAGGAACAGGGTCATTCCCCACTGTTTGGAAAGAGGCATTTTAGGTGCTTGTCACTGTTCCAAAGTATAGTATGGGCTCCCTGGTTTCTGTACCTTAGTCAGTTGATGCACAATGAAATCACTAAGGTTAAGGGAGCCAAGGTGGAATGCATCACCTCATATGTGAGTATGACTTGGGCAGGTGGTGAAACAGGAGGCACTGAGGTTTTAGAAAATTGCACGTAAGTCACCATTTATGCTAGGGAACCAGAAAAGTTTCTTTTTTTTTGGATGCACATCATAATGTAATTCGAATTCTGTGTAGATTCCATCTTGTTCACCACTCAAAAACTAATCATAGTCCATCTCCTCACATGTGAGCCTATTCACCCCTTTTACCCTCCCCCGCTTCCCCCGTGGTAACCACCGATCCATTCTCCGTTGCTATGTGTTTGTTTGTCTTGTTTTTATCTTTTACTTGTGAGTGAGATCATACGGTATTTGACTTTCTCCCTCCGACTTATTTCACTCAGCATAATACCCTCAAGGTCCATCCATGTTGTCACAAATGGCTGGATTTCATCATTTCTTATGGCTGAGTAGTAGTCCATTGTGTATAAATACCACATCTTCTTTATCCATTCTTCCTTTGATGGGCACCTAGGTTGCTTCCAAGTCTTGGATATTGTGAATAATGCTGCAGTGAACATAGGGGTGCAAGAATCTTTATGCCTTTGCATTTTCAAGTTCTTTGGATAAATACCCAGGAGTGGGATAGCTGGATCATATGGTAGATCTATTCTTAATTTTCTGAGGACACTCCATACTGCTTTCCATAGTGGCTGCACCAGTTTGCACTCCCACCACTAGTGTACAAGGCTTCCCATCTCTCCATGTCCACTCCAACATTTGTTGTTTCCTGTCTTGTTAATTATAGCCATTCTGACCGGAGTGAGGTGACACCTCATTGTAGTTTTGATTTGCATTTCCCTGATAGCTAACGATGTTGAGCATCTTTTTATATACCTGTTGGCCATCTGTATATTGAGAAGGTTCTTAAATTTATATCCAGGGCCAGAGTAGGGAACAGAACAAGCAAGCCCAAGGGAAGCACAGGGTGTTTTTCTGAGTACTCCCTACCCTCCAACATACCCTAAAACTCGTGGTTTTGAAGATTTAATTTAATCCTGCCAGTTGGTAGGTTTAAGCATCAGAAATCTAGTGCCAGTGTCTCTTTAGGCCTGGGTAGTTAAGAACTGGCCAGGCAGCTCTGCAGTCAGTTTGTCAAGGCCCTGGAGAAGCAGCCTCGATGCTGGAGACAGTACCCTCGTGGCAGGCGTGCACAGACATTTTCATATCACTAGAGCAGTATTGCTTATGCACGGTGGCAGAGGAAATGCACTTCTGTGTTTTCAAACCAGTCCTTTGTGGTCAAGAAGCTTTGAAGACGCATAGCTGTCTCCAGGCCTTTTCTGAAGTTTTGAATGCGTTCTCCAGCCTGTGTATAGAGTAACATATAAGCATGTTCCAAATAATGAGTGCTGGGCAGCACAGTGCTTTTGGCAGATCAGGTAAGCCCCTCCCTGAGTTACAGTTGATAGGGTGAGGAAAGCTCAAGGCTTACCGAAATCCCTTCAGTGGCCCTGCTTCAAAACAGCAGTGTGTAGGCCATAGCTTAGTGTTTTGACAGCTTATATCAGCAGTTTTCTCGGCTGATATATTGATTGCAGTTCGACCCTCAGTCCTGCTGATCTAATAAAACATCACCGTCATAACAGAGAAAGTAAAAGGATCTTCTGTGGTCCCAGCCACTTGGTGAAGTAGCTTGGCAGAGCTACAGAAGGCTAGCTCTACTGTCAGATGTAAAATGAAGTAACCTTGGACAAGCGGACTATTTATAATTTTTTTTATCATTTAATTTCTTTATCAATATGTTTTGGCTTATTAACACTGTTCTACATATTTTTACAACTCTGTGTTTTTTCAAAGGAATATAATGGTACCTTCACAAATACTAAAACAGTTTTGTGGCATCATTATCACAAACAGCCTAATAATGTGGCATTAACAATACTCGTTATGCTCACTGCGGGGGAAATAACACACAAAAAAGTGAACTGAAGTCTGGATTATGCTTTAAGACATAAAAATCCTCTCAGCGTGTTTTTGAATGGGGCATTTTGAATATCTGACAATCACCTGGCCTTCAGTCCTACTTATCCAAAATGAACTTTAATTTCACAGCAATTGCTGAGCATCCAGGAGGAGTTAAACAACAAAAAGTCAGAACTGGAGCAAGCCAAGGAGGAGCAGTCCCACACGCAGGCATTACTTAAAGTCCTCCAAGAACAGGTGAGTGACACAGCAGCTCTGATCACCAGTCGGTTCCGACGCTGACGCACCTCTCTCGTGCCTGGCACGCGCACACGTTGCTGAAGTTCATCTGCAGCACGATCAGCCTGTGCCCTGCCCAACCTCCTAGCAGCTTTGCTATGTGGAATTTACACTCTCATTCCCAGCACCTCTGTTCTGACTCTTGTTCCTGTTTAGACCTGACCCCAAGCCCCGCCAGGAATGTGTGAAAGTTTCTTCCCGAAGACAAATGAATTTTGATACCCAGTTCTAAAATATTGGTAATGCAGATATATTAGATATATTTCGAAGCAAGCAGCTACTTTCCTCTTAAGTCTAATAGTGAGGAAAATGGGTTTAGCATAACCCATGGTACTCCTGCAGACACAGGAATAGAAAGACTGGTTCATAGCAACATTAAACAAATACCTTCGCCTTGCATCAGGCCACTTATCTAACCACGGCGAGCAACAAACCTTGTGTATGAAGTTTGTAAATCTGATCGTTTTATCCTGGCTTTCTTCGATACTTAAATGCGGCTTGACACTGATAAGTGGATTTGGAAGTATTGTCTTACGGTGGGGTGAGACAGACTGCTGGCAGCAGAGTGAAATCTAAGCCTGGTATCCACAGGGAAGGCTCTTGAAATGCTTTCCTATTTCTGGCCTTCACACACTGCCAATGACATCATCAGTGGTAATTGGGAGGAAAAAAATCACACATAGTAACCCTAACCCTTGGTGGGTAATCAAATTTAGGTTGTTTTAAATTTTTCACTCACAGCAGTTTATGAGAAGATTATTTGTACAATATAAATAACTTCGAAAGTGATCTTTTTAAAAACATGAAGTTAAGAGAGTATGACCTCAGCTGTGACTCAGCCACTTTACAAGTGATTTCCATTTTTTAATGGTGTGGCATCAAGAAACTGTATTTTTAGTTACTTTCCCCTAAAAGTATAAGTGATTTGTGAGGGAAAAATGAAGATGTTGGATAGTTGCTAAATTTTTATAACTTTGGAGGAAGATGCTTTATAAAATTAATCATTATCTTTATGTGATTAATATAGATGCAGTAACTTAGACCGAGGCTGAATCTTTGTGATTTTGGATAAGTTAGATTGAACTGAAAAATACTGTTGACTAAATTTACCATGACCTACTGTCCAAGAGACCTAAAGTCACTGTTTTTTCTTCCTTTACATTATTAAAAGATTCCCAGCAAGGTGAAGCTGATTCAGTCCAGCTTTCCTCCTGATCAAGTAGACACAGCTCTGAGCTTTGCTGTTTTATGCTCTGTCTCTGTCTCCTTGATTTACTGGGACAGGGAAAGGTGAATTTCTCTTTTCTCCAAATGACTCAAATCCTTTATTTTGATTTGAAGTCCAAACTGCAGTCATAAAAACAGGTTCTAAGTTTTGCAGAAAGAATTGATAAATTCTTGTTATGGCGTGCGTTTTTAAGGAGCACAGCACACACACAGGCGATGGTGAAGCATCACACTTCACTCTCCATTCAATAAAAAATAAATAAATCAGGAATGTAAAGAAGATTCAGAACAACTAAAATTATTAAAGACCTAGGAAATACGACCGAGGAGGAAGCATTTTTAAATCTGCTGTACTGATTTAAACGGGATGGCTCCTTTCAAGCAAAGGCACTGAGATTCCACAAATCTAAGAGGGCCCACAGCAGCCAAGTGCATTTGGTTGCTATCACCAGCACCAGGTGGTTTTCCTGAGAGCCCCTCACCTGGTGCCTCTGTCATCCTTGCAGATGGGCGCATGTGATGGACACGCTCCCTCCATCTCCCTGCAGCCACCCACACACAGATACACACTTAAAAACACACCCTACCTCCACGAGCATTGCCTTATGAAGCTTTCTTTGGATTGTGTAGAGTAATCTACATGTATAAACAGCTTTTCAGTGCCTGCATAGATAGGCCCTAAACAGAAGGCCTCACTCCTGGAGATTCTGACTGTATGGGCCTAGAGTCTTGCTATTACACACACACACACAGGAAAAGCTCTATGCTTCTCTGAAGACTTGGAATTTTGCATGTCAAAGTGACTGCCACTTGTTGAGGATCCTGAAAAGAAAGAACAGGTCCTGAGGGCAGACCCTTACCATCACTAGGCCCCACCCCTTCCAAGGAACGCAGGGTCATTCCCTCAGCTCTCCAGAAGGTTCCCAGCCCTCCCTGCTTGCTCAGATTCAGTTTCTCTAGGTCCCTCCAGTTCCCACTGGTTCCTGCCTTTCATCGCCTTTTCAAAGGTGATAGCTTCCTACATGTGGAGCTTGTTCACAAGCCCAGGTATCATCAGACAAGATGTTCAACCCCTTCTTGTGGAGGTGAGGAGCAGCTCGAGGAGAGAACAGGGAGCAGACCAGTGAGGGCAAAAGCGGAGGCTGGCCTGCAGCGTCAGCTGTGAGGAGTGGCCTGGGGTAGTTCTGGCAGCAGAGGCCAGGGGGAGTAAGGATACCGGTGGACAGGGAGTGAGAGGAGAGCACGTGAGTAGCATACAGAGAGAGGGCAGAGCAAAAGGACAGCATGGAGTTGTCGAAAGATGGAATTTATTTAAAAGGGAGAAATAGAGCAACGGGCATGTTCCTGCTAATAAATATGTAAAGGTGGAACAGGCTTTAACAAAATAGTCGTTTACTTCTGCTGAAAAATAAAATTCCCAGCTAACCCCACTCTAACTCATGGAAGCACGAGTCACAGGACCTACACTGGGATGAGCAGAGAGGGCTGATGGAGAGGAAGACGATGAGGAGCACTTACCATAGGAAAACCTTAAGATGGGAAAACGTAGAGGGTTTTTGTTTTTTTTTTTAAAGATTGGCACCTGAGCTAACAACTGTTGCCAATCTTTTTTTTTGTTTTTCTGCTTTTTCTCCTCAAATCTCCCCAGTACGTAGTTGTATATATTTGTTGTGGGTCCTGCTAGTTGTGGGATGTGGGACACCACCTCACTGTAGCCTGGTGAGCAGTGCCATGTCTGCACCAATGATCCAAACCAGGGAAACCCTGGTCACTGAAGCGGAGCAAACAAACTTAACCACTTGGCCACGGGGCCGACCCACTAGAGGGTTTTTTGAGTCCTTTTGTGCCCTCTGATATTATTCCTCTCTCTGAGGTGCACTTTTTCTTTTCATGTATATCCCACAGTGCCCATGCTCCCTTGTATTTGTTATGTGTAGAAACATCACTGAGGTAGCCCTGATGAACAGTGGGCAGAATGTTCATTTTCTTAAGTGGGAGTGATGTGGAAATGAGCAAAGTGCCTTTGGTCCATAATCGGCTGCCCCATGCTCACCTTATTCATGCCACCATTCTTTCGGCAAAGGCTCTCTCTTGGCATGAAGAGTGTAAGGCTTTCTTTCTGAGAGTTTGATACTGCCTTCAAAAGACTAAAGAAGCTTTTGTTTTAATACATACAAGTAGCCAGAAAGAACCAATGCTCTGAATCAAACACATTGGTGGCATATGCACATTTATTTTCTTTGAAACTTTAAGCATTTATTTCACACCATGAATACTTTATTTTAGGCGTAAAACAAAGGCATACAGAAGATGCTGCTTCCTAAGTGTAATAAGCCAGGAAGAAATACTAGCAGATAGCTGCCGGGCCTGTTCACTCTGTACCCTTGCTCTCTGCCTCCAAATGTTTGCTTTGAGCCAGGCTGGGATAAAATGCCAATTAAAAGTTTCCAGAAATTTCCTGATTACTGATTACTCCTAAGCCTTCTGAGAGAGTAGAGAGAGTAGTGTTTTCAATGTTCATTGCTAAAAATCTCCTTTGAGAAACAGCTTTTCTTCTAATGCCTCAGTGACCAAGGAGATCTTTCCAATTCTTCCTGTGAGAAAAGAAGCAAATGACCTTTTTGTAGGCCTGCAGAAACAGTGTCAGTCGTTCAAATGTGTTCTTAAGGAGGACATGCACAGTAGCACTGCGGCATATTAAAACAACCAAAAATACATCATTCACGAATAACCGTTAGTGTAACATCATTTAGCTGGTGGCAACTTGCAAACACTGCAGGGTTTAAATTAATAGCAGTGCAATGAGGAAATGAAATCATTTATTATTCTTAAGAGCCAATTTTGTACATTTTTATGCCTATGGAACTGCTTTCTAATCTTATTATTTAGAAAATAATGACCAAGACCCATTTACTTTTGCCAGCCATCAAGTTTCATAAAATATTGGTCTCAAACTGGTTTCAGTAAGACTCATTAGAATTATGTGCTCCATCTATTTCTTCTCGTTGGAATTTTTATAAAGTGCAACCTCAGAGAAACCAAAGTTAACAGGATGATGTACACAACATATGTGCTTACTTATTCATTTGGATTTCTTTTGTTTTTTTCCTTAAAATTTCCAGTTAAAAGGTACCAAGGAATTGGTCGAGACCAATGGCCACAGCCATGAGGACACAAATGTAGGTACCACTAACCTGGTATTTATTCTTCTTGCTTGATGTTGGTTGAATGCCCACAGGAATGTGGGTATTCTATTTATAACACAAAGGAAATCAGAAGCCCTGCCTCTCAGTGGCTTATAAAGATTACTGTGTATGGTTTAGCAATAAAATATGGTAGACGGGCACCGCTATTGTTGGCTTGGTTACCAAATGTCAGTGTAGAAGTACTTGAACTAATCTCTACTGCAAAAATTCTAATCTTAGCGAATTTGTTTGAACCGTTTATATTTTCAAAATTACAGACTAATGATGTGTTAGGGCAAATGGAATGAGACCCAACAGGGTAATAAGTTGTGTATTACATGTAAATTTATTAAGTTTGCCTGTCAGTGAAAACAATAATGAAATGACCGATATGCTGAAGAGGTTTCAGAGCAAATCCCTTCTCCCAGAAAAGCCCTTGAAAGTGTACCTCTCTTCTGCTTCTGACCCAGAACAGTAGCATGATGCATCTGTCTTCTTGATATAGAGCATAATGGTACAAGATCCCAGACAGCACCCTGACTTCATCTCTTACTGTTCCTCGAATTGCCCCAAATTAGTGAAGTACTCGCTTTGCCTTGGAAGTTCTTTAGTCTCAGATGGAATATTTTATACCATGTAGATCATTGTCTCTCCATATGTTTAATGGTTTTGTTTTTGTCTTTTTCTAAATCTCCCTGATATCTGTATGCATTTGATTATCCTCATCACAGAAAATGCTTACTAAGCAGTTCTTTTCACATAACACAGAATCAGACATGGTAATGAATGCCTGATTAAGCTAAAGCTAGGAGAAATTATACATTTCATGTTCACTCTTGTTTTAATTATATGCAGCAGAGAGCCTGACATTCAGAGTGCCAAAAAATACCTCTTATTAATTACTGTTCCTACCAAACAGATATTTAACATATGGATGCTTATTGAGAACCTACTGTGTACATGGAGTTCTGCTAAGTGCTGGGGAAGGAGATGGTTACAAAGAAATATAAGGCTTGCTGTCTGTCCTCAAAGACCTTATGACCGAGTTGAGAAATTAAGGAACACATGGGCGATACACAAGATGTAAATGTGCAGGAAGGCGAGGCTGCTGTGATGTGGTGTAATTTGAAATCTGGACTTTGCTGCTTATTAATTGTGTCAACCTGACAAGTCACTTAACCCCTCTAAGCTTTGTTTTTCTCATTTGTAAAATGGATGACACAGCCTACCTAAAAAACTTAGTGTGATGTTGTAATGAGCTAAGGCACGTGAAAACCTTAAGGTGTTGTCATTCTGGTTTGTTTGTGTTGGATAATCAAGACTGGCCTCCTGGACCTGTGGGATTTGGGTTTGGCTTTGAAGAACTGACAGTGAGATTGAGAAAGTAGGAAGCGAGAGGAGGAAACCATTCATACAGAACTCTCCATAGACAGTATTGTGACCTAAGTAGAGTTTGTCTTCCCACTCCAATATTTCATTACCCCATCCTTACCCTAAGCCCCTTGCCAGGGTCCTGTCTTCTAGAGACACATTGCTGCCACGTTCTCAACCAAAACTTGCATATGCCCTCTCCTCAGAGTCAGAGTCCCCGCTGCGCCTTCCGAGGAAGCTGCATCTAATCCAATAAACCAAAGTGGCAGTATGCCTCAATTTCCTGGTCTGTAAAATGAGGATGATATTACCTACCTTTCCTTCCTTAAGGCTTATTGTGAGAAGCAAATGAGATAACGGATGTGGAAGCGCTTTGTAATTGCGAGGTTCTATCTGAGTAAGATGTTGTTATGATTGAATTAAGTTAGATGATACGTGTAAAGGTCGGCCTAACACAATATCTATCCTGCAGGCTCCTTTTTTTGAGGAATGTCAACAGCATTTATTATTAAATGGGAAAAGTGAAAGGAGATCATCTGTGAGGTCTTTTGTCCTTTCTAGAGCAAAGTTTCTAGATTTTAAAAATACCTCTCTAGAATCCACAAAGTGGACTTTGTAGTCAACCCAAAGAAATGACAGTGGAGAGATGGGTTCAAGGCAAATAGGAGGAGGGGCAGCACGATGACTTGGTGGGTGAGAGACTTAAGGAACGAGAGAGCCCAGTAGAACATTCCTGTCACAGCTGGTGGCCGCCTCTCTCGCTGAGCAGAGGGCCAGGCTAGATTTTACCATCACTGCCTGTTTTTTCAGGGGTTTCCCAGTAGGTGGATCATTCAAGTCTCCTTCTCTTTCCTGTCTGTAATGTTGCCTCCTTTGGGCAGTTTCCCGAGCACCTCCACTAGGGTTATGCGAAAGAAAAGAAACAAAAATCAGTTATTTTGGCCACGCATTTGGAGCGCTAGCAAAACATCTTGTGGAGTTATTTTTAAACGTCTGAAATGAAGTCTACATGTCATCTCAAGTGTCCACCAGCCCTGCAGTGGTCAAAGGAGATGAGGCTTTCAAAGCAGATTGAGGGGGTTTGAATCCCTTCTGATAACTGAATAGCCGTGTGAGCGGAGCCACTTATTTGACCTTTTTGACCTTCACCTTCCTCATCCTTGAATGAGCTAAATGAAACCACGTACATAAACACCTGGCCCAGAGTATGTACCCAACAAGTATCAATTCCTTCTCCATGCAGCAGTATCAATAGTATTTAATATGCTAGGCAGTAGTTTAACAGGATGAATTTTAATGCAGATCAGAGGTTTAAAGCCTCTGGCCCAGAAGTTACTGACTGAGACCTATAGATTTTGTGTGTGTGTAATTATCCACATGTGGAGGCTGGAATTTAATATTATTATCATTTATTAATAATAATTATACAGTGGACTGGTGGCTTAGCTGGATATGAGAGTTGACAATTACTTTTTAAAAACAAATATATTACTATAAAAGTAAAAAGAATAAGATTGTGTGAAACTGGAAAATTACAGAAAAGAATATAGAGGTAAAGAAAAATAACTTAGTATGTCATTACCACTATTCATATTTTATTTTAGTTCTTTCCAGTCGTGTGGATGTCTATGACCAGGGGGAAAAATCCATAAATAAATGAATAAATAAATCTTATCATATTGTCTTCAGTTTTGTATGTTTTTGATTTCTCATTATATCATAAGTATTTTTCTTGTCACCAAATGTTCCTCAAAAACATGATTCTTAATGGCTGTATAATGTAGATATGAAATAATTTAACCACACGCCTATGTGTTAGGCATTTAACTTCCCATTTTTTAACTATTATAAATAATGCTGCAATTAACATGCTCATAAATCTTGTTCTGCGTCTCTCATATTTATATCTGGTGGATTCTCTGTATTAATAGCTGTGTCACACAGTCTGGCAGGGAGCTTCAGACTTGCAGAATTGTTTGGCATTCAGCATGTTAGTGTGGCAAATGCATGCTTATGGTATCCGTTAGTCGTCCTGAGGGAACCCACGAAAAGCTATGTCTTGTCTTGCAACTTCCTAACTCTTTTGCCTTAGTCTCAAGAGTTGTCTAGCTTATAGGATGCTAGCCACACCTAGATTTGGTCTGTTACTATTACTTTTCTATTGTTTTTACCTTTTATTAAATAGCAGTAGTATCTGACCAACACCTTGTCTTGTATTCTTGAGGCCCCAAACAAAGGCACCCTTACAAAGCCCACCTTTGTCCCCATATCACAAAATCTGCGAGCACATGACCTTGAGAAAAGTTTTTGAAGGCCAACCTAAAACCATTAGAACCAGAAACTGAGATCAACTGCAAAGGCCTTGCTCTCCAAGAGGATTGCACTTGCTAATTTTCAATAGGTTTTTCTTTGTATTTGAAACTGGGTATATTAATGACAGCAGGGCGGTCCAACCTTTTAAGTGTACCCAAGTTTAAAATTAGCCTTTATCCCAGTTCCTTTAGAGATTTCAGTTATTCCAGATGCAATTTTCTTTCCTAAAAAGCAAGGCTATGATTTTTCCTTTGATCTCCATCTCTGAGCTGTCTCCTACTCCCTAGGACTGCTGAATAACTAGCCTGATCCCTGGTAATTATGCATTACAGATATCGAAATCTTAAATTAAAAAAAGATAATCTGTCCTCATCTAGCATCTTTTTGATGACCTTCCTCCCTCCCAGAGGTATCACCACCTGTGATCCTTACACGCGTATGTTTGGTGAGAAAGTGGACGGAAAGGAGAGAATGAGAGAAATGTAGGAAGAAGTCAGAGGAGTCAAATGAAGTGGCAGCTGAAGCCTGTAATGTATGGAACAATTTGGTCTAAAAGTTTTCCATGCATTTTCTTTCCTCCTCTTCCTGTTTCTGCTATAGGATACTGCTACCGCACATCCTCATTTGCACAATTCACACTCACACACTGGAGTTAGAGAAATCATTTGCAATCTGTAAAGAGGTTTAATTTGTGATACTGAAGGTTATCACTGTCAGGTAGAACACCTTCCCCACTCAACAATAAAACAAAAACACAAAAGAGGAAAGACTTTTCAGCTTTGCACGTCGCCTCTGTAAGAAAGTAAATCCTCAGAGTTGTCTTTAAATCTGTCAGAGTAAAGACGTTAGGAGAGTATGGAAGAGATACTGTGTGAAGAACATTCTCCAAGTTTAGTCCACTGCTGCCGAAGCTGTTGTTAACCATGTATTTTAATGAGGTATATGGCGGAACCTCTGTAGGTGCCAAGTCCTTTGGCTAGTTTCAGAATGTGGCTTTCATCCTTTAGGCAGGTGAGCGTGAGAGATAAGAATGCATGCTGATGTATTAAACAAGGCAAGGAGGAAAAAGACAAACCCCACAGGAAGGTGGGACCATATTCCCAAAGGCACAGACAATTCAGGTTCTATCCTTTCCTCCCATGACAACTTGCTGCCTGCTCTTGGGGGCCCTGATCTTGAACTGGAAGAGGAGTACACAAGACAGTAACACCTCAACATGAGGATTCGCACTTCCTGCACCCCACCCCACGGACTCTATCAGAGGGAACATGAGCACCCAACCCAACAGGCATGAGCCTAGCAGAAACTGGGGTGAGAGACTGTAGATGTCAGAGGCCTTCCAGCCCCTGCCTGTCTTTCTTCTCACAATCTCCCGCTGCCCTTGGCCTGTGCAGAGTCCCTCAGTTTGTGTTCCAACACAGCCTGCCATCCCTTTTTTACTCAGTAAGTCAACAGTATTCATTGAGGGAGACAGCAGAGTGTAGGGGTTCAGAACAGATCTGGGCGCCAAGCAGACTGGTTTCAACTTGGCTCCACCACTTTCTGTCTGGGTGACCCTGAGCGATGCACTGAACCCCTGAACCACCATTTTTTTCACTTCTAAAATGAAGGTAATAATTGCACCTACCTCACAGGGTTATTGTGAGCATTGCTTAGCAGCGTTGATGTGATTGGTGCGTGTTAGCTGGTTTTATTACTCCAGCCTTCCACATGCCCGGTGCTGTGCTAGGTTCTGGAGATCCGTTGGTGAGTAATGCAGACGTGGTTCCTGCCCCACCTGGAACTGACTCCCTTCATCATGCCCTGCCCTTAGCAAAGCTTGTCTTCTGTTTCATTCCATCAGGACTCACTCTCTGCCTTCAGGTCAATATCACAGTGGAATAATGGGCTTGAGGTAACTTATTTGTGTGTTTCCAGCAACTCTCTGGAGATAAGACCTTTACTTAGAAGGATTGGCTCTATGCAGAGGAGCCTGGTGGGAGTGCAGCATGATGCATGGGTATATAGGGAGCTTTAAGACCCCTGGAAATCTCGCCACTTTGTCTTCCTTCAGGGAGAGATGGACCCACATCTGTAGATGCTTGAGGTCACCCTTGCTCTATAGATGTCTGAAATCAAGAAAGTGGACTTTTCATGGACTAATATTTCCTTCACCCTGTAATATATGACTCTGCTCACATATTAAATGCTCACACCTGGAATTTGGCTTTTTCCTTGTGTTGCAGCTCCTGTAACATCATTGCCTTTCTCCTACTGATGCTTCCTTCCCCACCTCTACCCCGACTCCATCCTCCACATCCTCCTCCCCCAGACAGGTGCCTTCTTCCAGCTACTTTACCACGTTTTCTGCTGTGAAGTCCATAATTCCATCTGAAAAAGTCCACTCACATCCCAACCCAGCACCCTTGAAAAGGATTGATGACGGGAAGAGACCCTGTTAATACACCTGCTTTCCAGCACATGCAGAGCTCCGAGGAAGGATTAGAGCAGGAACTGCTGTCAGAAATAGGCAGGAGCTGGCTTCATGGTTAGTTCTTTAGTTTCCAGTAAATACTCAAGAGAAGTTTCCTTACCAGGTGCCTCACTATTAACCGACAATGTGTGTTTCCACAGCTGGAGCGTGGGACAACAGTTTGTCCTTTTTGTCAGGACAGGAGTTGGCGGAACCTGCTTGGCCACTGGTGGATTTGGAACATGTAAACAGGATTAGTGCGTGTTTAATAACGCTGACAGGTTGGGTTTAGAGAAGTGAAAATACCTTCTTCCCCCAGGCCACGTTAAAGAAAGTCAGGCGGAGGAGACGTAAATTCAGCTCTGTGTGAGATGGTCTGACGTGGGCATGGATACCTACACAGCTAAAACCAAGATCTGAAACAAAAGTTTTCCATTTTGGAGACCAAATAGACTTCCCCAAAAAGGTTAATGATAATCCTACCTGATGTAGAAGAAAATGCAATTGTTTAAAATGGAAGATTTTATAGATCCAATATACGTACATATAAATGCCCTTATCTGAAGAGCACCATATTATTTTTGCGGAAAATTTGGAAAATGCATAAAAATATAAAGAAAAAAATCACCATCTGCAATCTCACTCAGACATTAGTGTCTCCTCCCCCTCTTTGTGTTTCCTCCATCTTGGTCTATGTGCACATATATACATTTTTGCCAAACTTACAGATTATCACATGGGCAGTTTGGCAACCTACATTTTTTTCCTTATAAATCATGAGCATTTCCCCATGTTCTTAAATGTTTTCTTAATATGACTTAATAACTGCCTAATACTTCATGCCACAGATGTGCTCTAGTTTATTTAATCAGTCCCTGCTGTGGGACTTCAAAATATTATTTGTTTTTGCTGCCATGGATAGCATGCCATGAATATTCTTCAACAATGTATTAGTTAATTCATCCACCATTTAAGCACTTTTTAAATGGGGAAGCTTTTCCGCTTGCTTGGGATTTAGGGATAGAGGGAGATCCAGTGATTCTTTAAAAAGATTAAAACTAAGCCCTGACATGGTAAGTGATGAAATACACAGCCAATAATAATGTCTAGATGCTACCACATAGAGAAGATACTGAGTTCCCCAACAGGAGAGGGAAACAGCTCCCAAGAATATTTGCATTCTGAAGAGAGAGGCAAACTGTGTATACTTCATGAATAACTTAGAAGGATACTGAGACTTGTTATTTGGAGTTTTGCACTGTGGACTGGAGGTCAGTCTTCTGGGTGGTCAAGGGATTGTAGAGCCTGTTCTCTGTGTGGACCCCAGACCACGGCTCATGGACCCAGGCTGCCACTACCCAAATGCGGTGTGTCTACCCTCTTGAGAGAGTATATGAGATTGAGAAGAGTGCTCAATTGAAAGAACAAAATGGGTTCTAACCCCAAACAAAATATTAAGCTTTTATTTCTAATATGGCCAAGAAGATACACGTAAGCTCCAAACTATCACCAAGAGGTGCATACATAAGCATGCAGACATGACTTGAGTGCGAGCAATCTCATCTTGAAGTCGAATAAACCTAGAGGGGGCCCACTCCCAGTATACCTGCCTCCCATGAGAAACAGCTTAGCACTGCCTGATATGCTGATCAAAAACGAACAGGAGAAAAGTTTAGGAGCATTTATGAACAAAGCCAGGCACCTAAAAGGTAGACGGAAGCAGAAGTTTGTTCTAGTGTCTCTTGGAGACAGCAGCGGAGAGTGAAGGGCCTCCTTTCCTCAAGCAACTTCAGTTCCTGCTAACCTATCAGGATCAGTGATCTAGAAAGAACGAGAAACAAGGACCCACCAGTAGGTGAACTTCCCTTCTTCTAAGTTCTGTATGTTACTCAGGAGTCATAGGGCTTCCTAGATGTTTATTGTTGTTGTTTTTAGAATATTACATGTTTTACGGTGATTTCCACACTCCTTGTTTCTGCTAACCACACATGAGACCAGGAAGGCTACTGGCGTGAAATGTGCCAGCCAGGGCTGGGACCAGCATCGGTCACCTCTCCGTCTGTGACTCTGGTCTTCCTCAAGGACTCCCTGCTCAGCGCTCCTAGCTCTCCTGGGAGAGTTGTGTATTGCTGCAAAGGGCTGTCATTCTCTTTCTGCACACACTGCTCATCTCCAGACCTCATCCGTCACATTGCCACATAACTCACTAGACTGTGGCACTTCTTTGAGGAAATGCATAGGACGATGACCAGGAAGAAAAGTAGGTGGAAAGGTGGAAAGAAGAAAAAAGGGGGAGGACACAGGAAAGACCACAACCAGAAGTTTCCCAAAGTTTCATCCCTTTCTGCAGCCCACCAGCACTTCTAAATCAACGCTAGCAGGCAGAAGAGCAGGGGCTTTCACTGTCCCATACAGCCTGCTTACGCTAGTAGGGAAACCTGCCTTCACCAAAGAGGTGTCTGTGGTTGCACGAATATCCACACTTAATGGAAACGTCATCCAAAAATAAATTTGATGCAAAAATCTCAGATGTTAATCTGCAAATAATGCATTGGTGGGCTTCCTAAGGGAGACTACACCAATTAGAGTTGGAAATAAATATGTTCAAATTCCCCACAATAAGGTGAAATGTCTTCTAATCTTTCAACCTCAAAATTCTTTCTGGCTCTGATGGGGACGCCTCTCTCTGTTCCCTCCCTGCCCTCTCTCGAGCCTGTTGGTGGGAATCATCCCCAGCTGTGGGTTCACTGCCTGCCAGCTCAGCTTCAGCTCCCCGCTTCCTGGCCTGCCCAGAGGGACACCCAGTCCCACTGCTCGCCCAGGCAGCAGACATCCTGTTGGTAGCACCTGTAACAGGGCATTGGAGTCAAACCTCCAAGAAGGTTGCAGCTTTAAAATCAAACCTCACACTTGCAGATTTAAATCGAACTTAGCGTGTCACAAAATTCCAGAACTTCAGCAAACCACCCCACCGTGTGAATCCCCGCCGTGTGCTCCTAGTTCAGGCAGAGCAGAAGTTGAACCGGGAAGGAAGAGGCATTCGATGGTCAGGTTCCTTATAGAAAGACCGTGGGGCTTTCCTGAAGAATTAGTCTTAGTTCTCAGCTGTGCGGGTGGCAGGGCTACAGAGGTCTTTGCCTTTTGCTCCCTGGGCAGCAGCCTGCTTGTAAACACGCAGAGAGTCACCAGGAGACTTGTGAGCAGCATCCTGCGTGGTATATGGCAGCTGTTTTACGAACCCCGCAGGTCCTAAAAAGACTCACCAACCTTGGGACACTTAATAGTTTTTTTCAGATTTCTGTTTGATATTTTTTTTCCAAGAAAATCCTATAAACCTCAGCGTTCCCTGCCCTGAAATTGCCCTTGTAGGGGAGATTTGTGGCTGTGTCGCTCAGGATCACCATCGTTTATATTGCTTTGTCACCTTCCCCATGAGATTACAGAGTGACTCTCTTCATATGGACAATTTCCAGACTGTCCATGTATGCTGATGAACTACTTATGTTTATAAGACTTTCAGAATCTAATTTATGCAGGCATTTTCTTCCCATGCCAATTTTGAGAAAGATGACTTGAAACTGAGAAATGTCTAAAAGTCCCCTTGTAAACCCCCAAACCTATTTGGGTGTGATTACCTGCTCCCCTCACTACACATAACACACACAGGTACACACACGGGCACAAGCATAACATGTCTCCGCAGCTGTAAGCTTATATATTGTTTCAGACCATTTTATATAACCAAATTGGTCTCCTTGGTAAGAACAGAATAACTACTGGCCTGATATTCAGAAGAACTGTTGGCCTGGTATCCTGAATAAATGGCTAATCAACAGGTCAAATTCAGCTAGGAACACCATTAAAAATTCTAAATAATTAGATTTTTTATTGATAATTCAGCTTTCATTCATCTATCATGTCATCTTTTTTGCCTGCAATGCAAATACCACCTGTTTTTAAGCCCTGCTCAATTCCCATTTCTTGGGGCCTTATCCTAAGATCAGCCCAAATAAGTTACTATCTTCTCCATATTCCCACAGTATTTAGCATCCTCCAAACATTCTGAACAACCCAGGTATGATAGGCCTGTGTCCTCAACTCTGGTGTGTAAGTGCTTTAAGGGTAGGTCATGGTATGTATGCCGTACAGAACCTAATGCAGTGATGAGCCTATGTAGGTGGGTACATTTGTAATACATATAAAATATTTCTCAATTGATGATTGAATTGACATGGAATTTCCAGCAGCCTCAGACAGCTCCGTGAATCAGTTTGGCCTGGTTAGGTGGGAAATGCGAACACTTCCTTCTGTCTGTTATCTACGGGTCATCCTAAAGATAAGCGTATTTCATTCCATTTCACTTTAAGATGTGTACCAAAGTCTCGTAGACTGTGAAAGTTAGAACTGAGGTGGTAGCATTCACCTCATCCAACTTTCTTATTTTGCAGGTTTATTTTGGTATATGTTTTCTTGCCTAATTACTGTGTGTCTGTGAGTCTTACATTCTCGAAGACAATACTTCTGAAGCTTTAATAAGCAACAGAATCAGAGAGCTTCTTAAAAAACAAATCGCAAGGCTCCACCCTAGAATTTCAGGTTGGGTAGGTCTAGGCTGGGGCCTGAGAATTTGCATTTCTAATAAGCTCCCAGAGGATGCTGGTCTGTGGAACACACTTTGAGTAACTGCCACCTACTCTCCTCCCCAGTCCACGTTAGATGCAGCTCTGTGCTGCTACAACACCCAGGGCCTTCCCCTGTCATAGTTTATATCACACTGTATCTTAATATATTTCACATGCCTGTCTATCCTCCAGACTCTTACGTTCCTTGAGAACAGGAGCCACTATTATTCATCTTTGAATCTTATCTAGCACAAAGCCTACCGTATAGTAGATGCCCAATAAATATTTGATGAATCGGTGGTGAAGGCTCAATAAATTCCAGTCAAACTATGCTGAACTGAGGTGTCCAGAGACTGTTTAGTCCAAATGTTGAACTTTGCTGCTATTCAACCTCAAAAAGAAGACATACAATTAGTAACTGCTGGACTCTGGTTCATGAGAAATCACTTCCAGTTGGAGAACATGCAAAAGATAGGTGGACTCACAGCTAACCCCTCCTAACTGTGCCCATCCAAGTCCACGTGACGGGCAGTGCAGCATGGTAGGCACAGTGCTGTGTGTTGGGAGCACACCCTATCGCAGCCAGTCACCGTCCTCAGGGAGCACACGGCCCATCAGGAGACAGCATATGACTGGACAGGGAAATCACCAAAGATGAGCTTCAGTCGTCTCAGTAAGGAAGGGGACTTGGGGTGGGACTAGGGGCTTGAACAAAGTGGAGAAGTGGTGATTCCCTGAGAAATGACTCGGACAGAAGGCAGTATAGACACGTCGCTCGAGTCTGACTGCCTGGGGCCCAGTCTTGGAGTCACTACTTTGCAGGTGTGTGAACTTAGAATGCTACTTGCCTTATTTGTACCTCAATTTTTTCATCTGTAAAATAGGGATAATAATAGTATCAGCACCTGGCATCTACCAAGCACTCAGTAAGGGATAACTATTAGTAGTATAATCATTACCATTAGTTGTATTATTTTTTTTCCAGAGGACCACAAATGCTACATCCACCAAGCGCCATGCATCAGCAATGCAGAGCACTTAGTTCTTGGAATATTTCTCATGTATGGCATAGGCAAGAAGGCAGGGAAGAGAGAGAAGTGGATTTTAGTGTCCTAGGGGAGGGAGACCATTTAATGTTTACTAAGATCTCAGCGTATGCCCCGCAAACCTTGTGAAATTTGATTTTACTTTAATAATAATTAAATGTCTCTCTTTCCCATTTATCAGATCGCATCCTATCTATTCTTGTAACCTAATTTACCACTATAAAGGTCAAAAAACCTCTAAATTTTAATATTATCATTAGTAATGTAAACTCAGCAGGTGAAAATTATGATAGTGGGTGCTTTATAGCGAAGAAAAATAAGAAATGTCATACTGAGAAATGGACTGGGAAAATAACATGCCAAGAGCACCATAATACAATTAATCTTTACCAGCAATAGAGTCAGTATCATGCAAGATAAATCAAGCCGACTAATTCTGGATGCACAGACATACATTTAAAGGTATCTCACTTTAGTTTCTTCTGTTTGCTGCTCCATTTTTATTGGTTGAGGAGATTTTTCATGTCAGTACTTTTTCAGGCAATGAAAGGTATGGACTTGCGTAGATACAGCAGTATGGGTTACATTTTTTATGTATTGAAGAGAAACACACAGCTGCTTTTGAGATCCAGTATATTTTTTCATTTAGCAACATCTACAGCGGCATACAGTAAAACTAAAAATAAAATACTACAACCTACACTTTAAATAACGAGTGGAGTTATTGGAATACAAAGGAATTGTTTTTCTCATTTTTAGATTGTTTTTATTTAATACGGCTGTCACAAAACTATACCAAAAGAAAGTCATTTAATTGCCAGCCTCAGACCATGGTTGAAGTGTAGTGGGAACTGTGATAGCTGTAATTAAGTTACAATTCAGGCACAGTGATGCTCTCCGTATTTAATGGTAAACATTACAAAATTGAAATTACTCTTTCTTATCAAAGTCTCTGTTCTCTTATTAAAAGTATATGTGGGATAATCCTATTTTTCAAGTAAGAACTAATAACAATAATATCTACATACACACACACATATATATGTGTATGTGGGAAAAGGGTTATATAAAAAAGGTAAATATCTGAATGTTAATAGTGCTTATATATAGGTAGTAGAATTTCAGTTAACTTTTATTTTATCTCTATGTTTTGTAAATTTTATACACTAAAAATATATATATTATATATATTATATATTATATATATTATATTATATATATAATATTTGTATGAGGAAACCAAGAAAGATTATTATTAAGAATTAAAGTCAACTAGAGAATTGTCTGAAATTTTGGAAAAGAATGGAAAGGAAAAAGGTTGTAAGCTTATATTATGGTCTCCAAAAAAAGTTAATATTTAAATTAAAAACATGTTGAAAGTATTAATAATAGATACAAACTAAAAATTAAATTTTTACTTTCTAAGATAATAAATCAATTATTTTACTTTAAAATGATGCTACAACAAAGGCATTTAGGGACCAACAGGATGTAAAATGCCCCAAGCAATTGCCTTGTTTTGTCACTATCTACTGTGCATGTTCCTCATTACATCTTGTAAGTCACTCCAGGCCAAGGACACTGACCAAGTCCTGTGACTTCCAGTCAGTGTCACCTGTGAAGTTTATCCTCTGTATGGAGTAACAGATTCATTTGATTTAATTCAACAAATACTACCAAGGGCCTACTACTTATTCTTTCAAAGAATATTGGTTGCAGATTTACTATGTGCAGAAGACTGTGCTGGGTACCGAGGACATTGTTCCTGGGTAGAGAAATGATTACAGGTAGAGCAACCACAGAGAGTCCAGGCAGGGATGCTTTTGAGTGACAGGGACAGCAGGTGTGCACTGGGACCATGCAGGAGAGGGAGAGAGATGGACGATGGGCTGGAAGGTCCCTCTCAGCCCAGATGCTCTCCTGAGCTTGTGTCTCATGTTTCCATCTGCCTCCCTAAGACCTCACATCCAATATTTCTAAAGTACTGGAGCCGATATTGAGTTCTTTATGATCTCTGATTCTACTATCATTATTCTACTAGTCATCCAGACTTGACATTTAAATATTTTTAAGTCTCTCCTCTTCCCTCTGCTTCACTCACAGAATCTGTCCATTCCATCTTTAGAATGGGCTCTGTATCCCCCCTTTTCTGTCTTTTCCCATCACCTCGATGGTTCTGCCTTATTGCCACATACTTGGGGTATGACTGGAGCATCGCCCTGGGTCCCCTGCCTGGGCCTCTTCACCTGCTCAGCCAGTCCTACATGTGGCCGACTCTTGGTCTTTGGAGTGCTGCTTTGACCTCAGCTTTCCTCCTCCCACTTCTTACAAACCAAGAGAGCACGTATACCACATCCTCTTCTTCATTGGCCCCAACACTGCCTTTGAACCCTTCCCTGTTGCACAGACCGTGGTTACAAGTCACACCTGTCCAAAGGAAGTCTGTCACCACCTAACAGCAGCAGAGAGCCAGGCCCTGTCCCTGCTCACCCTGCTTCTCAGCTAGGCCCCTGCTGACTTTCTGCTGTGCTCCCCTTTCCTTTCATGACGCTGCAAGAGCCACTTGTCATCTGGCTGCCTAGAGCCCCTGCTGGCTCCCAAAGGGGCCAGGACTGTGATGTAGGGAGGGAAGAGATTTCATCTACCCACTCTGGGTCCTTCTGGCCAGACAATGAATTAAATTGACATGAGACAGAATAAGAGGAGAAAATCAAACAAAGCTTTATAATGTGCATGCATGGGAGAGACTCAGGCAAACTGAGCAACTCACCAAAATGGCGGAAGCTCTCACCTTAAATATCATACTCAGCTAAAGGCAAAGGAGGATGTTGGGGGTGGGGGGAGCCAGTTATGGGAGATTACCAGAAAAGCACAGTTATCAAGAGTAAGGTTATTCTGCGATTTAAGTCCTTGCCTTCCGTATTGAAAAGAGTTTCTAGAGATAAGGTCATCCCCATCTTTTTCCTGGTAAAAAGAGGGAGACACCTTTACAGATGGAGATTTCCATTACAAATGTAAATGTCTCTTAACAAAGGGTAACTTCTACTTTTCAGAGTTTCTCTCTTGTCTGCAGTTTTTAAAAGTAACCAGCCCAAAATAATCCTCATGCCAAAGACGCATTATCTTGGGGTGGCCAATTCCAGTCCCCCACAGTAGGCAGCCCTCAGAAGAGGGATTCAGTCCCAGTGCTCAACAGGCATTTTTCAACTGACACAGACCATAATAGGAGCCAGGAGGGCATTCAGGAGAGGCAGCCCAGCACAGTGGTTAAGATTCTGGAGCAAGACAGCATTGGTTCAAATCCCAAGTCTGCTTCCTACTAGTTGTGTGACCTTAGGCAAGTCATTAACCTCTCTCTGCCTCATTTTCCTCATCTGTAAAATGGGAATACAATAGTACTGACCTTGTAGGGCTGTTCTGAGGATTAAATGAGTTCATATTTGGAAAGCTCTTATAATACTACCTGCACATAGTAAGCATTATGTACGTGTTTATTAAATAAATATAACCAAGGATGATCTAAAAATAAGGCCACCAGGAGAAATGCTGTATCTGGATATCTCTGACGCCTAAACTATGCTGAGTTTTCACCTGTCTTTCTTTGAAGCGTCCTTTTTTATGACCTATAACCAGTTCTCACCTATTTTAATCTTTGCAATTGGAAATCGGAGGAAACACAGTTCTTGGAGTTGTCCGAGGACATAATGCAGGCACCCTGGGTCCAACCATTGAACCTCAAGGAGGCAGAACATCTCAGCATGTAAAGTGTGGTCGTGGAGTAATGAGTCACTGCATGCTGGCTGAGGGCAGGAGCCCCCGTGTCTGTTTTCAGATCGTCTCTCTGAGGCTGAAGCCTGTGGGGCCTCTGCGGCATTCCTTGTGCAGACCCTGAACATCAAAGGCTTCTGAGGAAAGGGCACAGGTGGCTGGGAGCCCGTGACCCTCAGGACTGGCAGTACCAGCCTTCAACAACTGATAATATTAGCAAGGCCTTGGGACTTCTAACCCACAGAAAATTCCAGAGATCCTGCTTCTTCTTGGAGATTGATGCATTCTTACTTTCCCTTGAACCATAAGAAATTTTGAAGCTTACTCAATCACTCATTCTCATCAGTCCTTTTCTCATCCATTTGCTTTTTTTTTTTTTAATTAAGGTTATAAAAGTTAACATCCTTGCGAAATTACAGTTGTACATTATTACTAGTCATATTGTAGGTACACCACTTCACCCCTAGTGCCCTCCCCCCACCCCCCTTTCCCCTGGCAACCACCGATCAGTTCTCTTTGTCCATATGTTAACTACCACCTATGAGTGGAGTCATACAGAGTTCGTCTTTCTCTGTCTGGCTTATTTCACTCAACATAATTCTCTCAAGGTCTATCCATGTTGTTGTGAATGGGACAATTTTGTCCTTTTTTATGGCTGAGTAGTATTGCATTGTATATATATACCACAACTTCTTTATCCAATCATCAGTTGCTGGGCACTTAGGTTGGTTCCATGATGTGGCTATTGTGAATAATGCTGCAATGAAGATAGGGGTGCATGGAACTTCTGGAATTGCTGATTTCAGGTTCTTAGGATGTATACCCAGTAGTGGGATGGCTGGGTCATAAGGTATTTCTATTCTTAAATTTTTGAGGAATCTCCATACTGTTTTCCATAGTGGCTGCACCAGTTTGCATTCCCACCAGCAGTGTATGAGGGTTCCCTTTTCTCCACAGCCTCTCCAACATTTGTCACTCTTGGTTTTGGATATTTTTGCCATTCTAACAGGTGTAAGGTGATATCTTAGTGTAGTTTTGATTTGCATTTCCCTGATGATTAGTGATGATGAGCATCTTTTCATGTATCTATTGGCCATCCATATATCTTCTTTGGAGAAATGTCTGTTCATGTCCCCTGCCCATTTTGTAATTGGGTTATTTGATTTTTTATTGTTGAGTTGTGGGAGTTCTTTGTATATTATGGAGATTAACCTTTTGTCGGATAAATAACTTGTGAATATTTTTTCCCAATTAGTGGGCTGTTTTTTTGTTTCAATCCTGTTTTCCCTTGACTTGAAGAAGCTCTTTAGCCTGATGAAGTCCCATTTGCTTATTCTTTCTATTGTTTCCCTCATGTGAGGGGTTATGGTGTCTGAAAAGACTCTTTTGAAGCTGATGTCAAAGAGTGTGCTGCCGATATTCTCTTCTAGAAGACTTATTATTTCAGGCCTAATCTTTAGGTCTTTGATCCATTTTGAGTTTATTTTAGTGAATGGTGAAAAAGAATGGTTGATTTTCATTCTTTTACATGTGGCTGTCCAGTTTTCCCAGCACCATTGGTTGAAGAGACTTTCTTTCCTCCATTGTAGGCCCTCAGCTCCTTTGTCAAAGATTAGCTGTCCATAGATGTGTGGTTTTATTTCTGGGCTTTCAATTCTGTTCCGTTGATCTGTGCATCTGTTTTTGTACCAGTACCATGCTGTTTTGATTACTGTAGCTTTGTAGTATGTTTTGAAGTCAGGGATTGTGATGCCTCCAGCTTTGTTCTTCTTTCTCAGGATTGCTTTAGCAATTTGGGGTCTTTTGTTGCCCCATATGAATTTTTGGATTCTTTGTTCAATTTCTGTAAAGAATGACATTGGAATTCTGATTGGAATAGCGTTGAATCTGTAGATTGCTTTAGGTAGTATGGACATTTTAACTATGTTTATTCTTCGAATCCATGTGCATGGAATGTCTTTCCATCTCTTTATGTCATCGTCGATTTCTTTCAAGAAGGTCTTGTAGTTTTCGTTGTATAGATCTTTCACTTCCTTGGTTAAATTTATCCCAAGGTATTTTATTCTTTTTGTTGCGATTGTGAATGGCATTGAGTTCTTGAGATCTTTGTCTGTTAGTTCGTTGTTAGCATATAGAAATGCTACTGATTTATGTATGTTGATTTTATACCCTGCAACTTTGCTGTAGTTGTTGATTGTTTCTAATAGTTTTTCTATGGATTCTTTGGGGTTTTCTATATATAACATCATGTCGTCTGC